GTGTGTTTGAATAGATAACCTGACTCCCTAATGTACGGTCCACGATCTTGTGGTGTTAGTTTCTGTGTCAAGCCCACATACCTTATTCTGGCTTCCGGCCAAGAGCTTGGGCTTGTAGAATTATGGTCTACTTAGTTATTAGTACTATTATAACAATAGATCTAATCCTTAAATCGTAAATACGTTATGATATGACTGCCTTATATATAAGATCTTACGTCGAAGTCATACAACTTTCTATTAAGACTCGTCGTATCGTGACAATCCGCGATATTACGTTTGGAGTTCGTGAAGAGCACATTTAGGCTAAGGACAGAATAATATATTTAGTGTGAGTAAAGACCAGTTAGACAGAATGACCACGTCTGCAAGGCTAAGTTATGCTATCTCTTCTAATCAATTAATTCTTCTTGATTTCACCAATTTTGGCCTTCTCTTCATTTTAAATGTTAAATATCTACTTTTCCAGTATCTCATTTTTAGCTTTGAGGATTGTATGATTATGACCAATACCATTACAAACTAACAAGAGTTTTAAAACCCCACTGGCTACTTAATAGTGTAACCTGTTTCTCATCCAGTAACTAACTTGATTACTAGACATTACCACGGCGAGGAAGAATATGAGATTGAATCTCGAATTTTGCTGATGTTCACGTACGTACTTGGATTACGTAGTACGTCAGCAAGGTTAAGGGAGTAGCAGGAGAGCCTGTGATTTGTTGGTTGTATAAAGCAAAAATAAGTCACTCAGCTATTGCACTCCAACAGCGTGGCAGATATAGTCAAGTCGGGCATAATTTCACTGCTGAACAATGGATTATTTTGGGCCAGTGTAGAAGACTTGTAGCTCAGGTGGATCACCTTGCTGGAGTTTTGTTCTCTGAGCTGGATGGTTCAGTCATGGAGCTTCCATCGCTCCCTTGAACTACATCATCAGCACAAGCTTCGGGTAGAAGTGAAGCATTTGGATATTTTACATGTAGTTCACAGCTTATCCTGTAGACCTTGATGTTGACTGGTTCTTGTAGATCCTAAAACTGTCGTTGTTTGCTTCTTTGATTTCGTAGTATCTCCCATCGTTTTGATTTTCGTTCCTTTATTTGTCCATAACTTTTCTGATTGGTTGATAAATTGGAGCGGTTTCAATGTGCTTGTTGATTTTTGATTGACTTGAGTGCCAATCTTCGGAAAATTCTCTGGTGATTTTTGGGTTGTTTCTGTCCAAAATTTCCACATTTTTCCAACCTAACGTGTGTCCGTAGTTGTCCACGTGCACTGATATTAGTTAGAATATGTCATAAAGTTTGACTGCTAATTGACGTTCGTGCAGGCGAAGGTGAAGAGGGCGTCCATTTTGTCCGATGTAGCATTTTTCGCAGTTGGCGCAATTTCTTTTGTAGATGTTGTTTTGTTTGTCTTCTTTTGTCGTTTCATCCTTTGGTTTGCATAGAAATGATTGTAGTGATTTTGTTGATTTGTGTGCAAAACCTATTCTGAAGGGTTTCAGCAGTCTCGCGGTAGTTTCTGATATACCTTTTGTGTATGGTAAGGTGATCCTCTCGTTGATTTCTTTACCTGGCTTTGTTTCTATTGATACGTGCGGTTGGTATTCTTCGACGAAGTTGATTGGGTAGCCGTTTTTTAACGACTGTCTTAAGGTATTTTTCTTCATCTTTTTGTGCTGAGTGCTGTAGTGTGTCCTCACTCTCATGAACAAAGTTTGTACACAATTGATTTTGTGAGCTCTGGGGTTGTTGCTATTTTAGCTTAGAACTTGGTCTGTATGGGTTTGCTTCCTACACACTTGAGTCTCCAGCCTACCCGTGTCGATTATGGTGAATAATACATCCAAGAATGATAGTTTGTTGCTTGACTCCTATATCATTGTGAACTTGATGTCATCGAAGACGTTGTTGGTCCACTTGTCAGTGTTTTACTGATTATCAACAAACAATGACAGTTTTAAGATCAACAAGAACCAGTCCACATCAAGGTCTACAGGATAAGCTGTGAACTACAGGTAAAAAATTCTAATGCTTCACTTCCACCATGAAAAATGATTTTGGACCTTTCGCAGTTCGACATGTCACTCTTGTTTAGCGGAAAGGCTGATTAGTTATTATTTGTCAACTATATTCAGCATCATAATAGCCTTTTTAGTCATGGAACGGTGCAATTCTTCTTTAATTCTTTACAGAACCTAAAAAGCAAAATAATTCGGTCAGTATTAAAAGTCAACGAGGAGTAGCACAAAAAGTAATCGCTTGTAGTACTTACAGAAGCGAAGTAGGCCCTGAGATTTTTGGGAGTTTTGGTGGACTTGTCTCTGTCAGAACTCGCTACATGGGGCTACACATCTTAACGATTAGAACCAAGACAAGTTTGCATGGACATTTTGCAAGTCCCTTCATCTTTGAAACTTGAGTTCGTGTTCTCTTAAGAGTGACTTACTGATGACATGTTATAGTGATCTTCTCGGTGTAGAAAACTGTGATCTTCTAAAGCGCATTGACTAAAATCAATAGCTCACCGATGAAATGAGTGAGGTTTTGTTAATCAACGCACATTTTCGCTTTCTTTTCTTCAAACACGTTTCGAGACAATATCCCTCACAAAGCATGCATAGAAATAGTGTTTTCCTAGTCACATAATAAAGAAAAAAGTTTTGAACAACTCTGACGTAAGTCAGTTACTCTTAAAAAAACTCCCTAATATAGATTAAGATCTCGAATGCAATATACGAATTGAAAAGACACCTATGACGTCGTACAAAGTGGTGTTCAAGTCATTTTCAGTGATAAAAAGTGTGATGCTGGAATATTCCAAAAAGTACTCAGTCGATGGAGGATTAATGGCATTAAACTTTATCACTTCAAATATATCTATCACAGGTCACACGGTTCATGTTGATTTTATTGTACTCCTGATAACCATACGATGACTAATGGCAATCGCTATACCTTCGTGGCTGATATCATAAAAACAAATATCGCCTAGGCTTCTCACGTTTGGTGCAAAGAGAATAACCCTCCTGTACACAACTGGATAGCAAGCGTATGGCTAAAGAAATCGAACAATTCCAACGCTTCTCGAAGGAATGCATGTTCTCAATTAACAGGCTGGTGCAGATCATAGCAGTGAGTAGCCGCTGAATCGACGTAAAAACAAAGGTATATTCAATGATACAAAACCCCCGTACGAAGTTCGAGAACGGACTTCAGGACTGCAACACCAAAGAAATTAAACAATCACTATATTCGCCCTCAGATTTCCATCAAACCACTTGGCGCGATCGCCGTAGACGTTTGGTATTGGGTAAATAATAACGTCTGGCAGAAAAACTCACTATTTTCGTACATTTTTGGAACAACTCTTTTGTCAGAAAGCCTCAAGATTACTCGAAGAGCTCGGCTCCATAAAATTTATTCGCTGTGAGATACAAATCTTTCTTTCACTTTAGGGTTTCAAAAATTTTGAGGCCTGATCCATCGACATCCTTGAAATAAATTGAAGTTCACACTTTCAATAAAATGACCTGGAATAATCTTCCGCTATCCCATCCATTTGGGAATGCTTCCTTTAACAATTCTTGAAAGCTCTAGATAAACATGGCAGACTCGCGCCCATCATTTTGCTAAACATAATTCCAATTGTTGTCAAGACAATTATACTCCCTAGAAATCCAAAACCTTTCTTCTACAAGTGTGTGGTGCGTTCGTCTTTAGTCGGTGAGATCTGGGCATCTATTTGCATATGTTCTTTTAGAGTCTCACCAGGAAAAGTGCGTAATAACGAACGAACACATCCTGTTCAGCTGCTAGTACGCATACTCTCAAATGAACTTTGATAAAATGTTTAAACATACCTCATAATCAAAGACGGATAATCGTTAATAGTGGAATCCAGGCCGCACTTTTCGTCGTATTCTTGACTCATCAGCTGGATATACCTACATCCCAGGGTTAATGTTCACTCAGGGACTCGGACCCAGTACCGTTCCATTCAAACATCAAGTATTCAGTATAATATAACCATCATAAAAATTACTATTGATCCGATTTCTGAGTTCAAAATCAACCTAGACATTTATTTCAGGTTATGATTATTAGCAAACAGAATTTCAACGACAGCTCAACTCAGAAAAATTATGTAAATACCGGTTGTCAGCTGCTACTAGAGCAGTATTAAGAATGACTCAGAACTTGCTACACTCCTAGTGATAACGCAGTCTATGATGGTCACAATAACCATCTGTAGAAAAGTAATTTGTATCATATCGAGACTTAATAATTGAACCAAAGTTATTTTTTCACGAGTCAAGTGTTCACAATCATGAACTGCACTACCATGTGATGTTCGTTTGATTTTTTTAGCTATAATATTAATGGAATCAAACAACACCATAATGCACTTCAAGTAACAAATATATACCAAAAAATTTGAGACTAATTATGGGGCCATTATTGGCTTCGTCGATTAACCTACGCACCATATCCCAGCAACTAGTACATTCAGCTCATTATGTCTGCATAATCTTTTCATTTAATGTTACTGAAACTCATTAGTGATTTATAGCCCATAATAGATTCATGTGGTTAAATTCTGACAGAAATCCTCCAATCTTAATACACTAAATATAATAAGAAAATGCTGCTTTGCTAATATTAAGTTTCGAAGCTGTAAAAATATTTCATTTTTCACCACGGTTGGTATGAAAAATGAACAACGTTGAAGTATCAGTCGGCATAAGAGAAGAGTAGCAGTGACAACTTAAATTGATCTTTCGAAGCGCTCAATACTTTCCTAATGAATCAACCCAAAACATATACAGGAATCTAGGCTTTGGAACTTTTTTAACGGTTTAATGAGAAATTTGCACATAGTAATTGTTTGACCGCACCAGTAGACGACCCCTTGGTTTTCCCGCCTCAGACCTTGAGTCATCCGATTGGTTTGGGGTGAGTCATCTGTTTGTCACTGGGTAATTATGTAATAAAATGGATAAAAGTCAGAGTTCGAATGACGCTTCCAGTGCTGAATCCAGTTCTATTAAGCCTACAACTGCACCTCGCCCAACAACACTAAATATACTGCTGGACAATACAATAAAAAGTCCAGCATTGTCATCTTTCCTGACACCTTCTCTAGAAGAACTCCAACCGATTTTACGTTCAGAGGTAGAAAAAATCCTTCAACATCTAAAAGCGTCTCCTCAAACTCCTGGAAGCTTTCTCAATCCTAAGCATGTTACTGAAGAACAAGAGAGGTTCGCTAAGTAAGTAATCTTCTTAGTACATCCATTTTTTTCCAGTGTTTTTACTCAGAAGTTGAATGAGCTACGGGATGCATCTAGTCTGGCCTCTCTGACTGCGGCTCTCAGTCCTGTTACTTCTGCCGTAAATAATAGTGGTTTGTACAATATCAATTTGGCTGATTTCAACTCTCAAAATCTACCAAACTTTGCCGAACTATGTCGTCAAGCAAGTCAAAGTGGAATCAACACAACTCCAGCATCTATACTCTTTTACTCTCCAGCTTGCTTCGATGCGCAGTCATTCCCTAGTGTTCAGACTGTTACTCCAGGTCTTGTTGCTTTTCAGCCACAAACTGATTCGGTCAACTCAACGTCTGAACAGAGTATCACACTAACGAATTTGCAAAATTCACTTTCTATTTCTCTCCCCAATACTGCTCAACCGGCCACGGATAGTGAAGTTACAACTGTTCAACTGCCTAACGGGTTGCGTCTTGGTATCACAACCAATGGCGCTTCACAAGCGTCAGTTCTTCAGATGCTAGGTATTGAGCCCCAACCAGAGCTTGTCCATCATGCTCATATTCAGAACCAATCTTTGGATCCGTCTCTTTGGCCTTTAAACATACAAACAAATCTACCGCCTAACGACACTTCCGATAGTCGTCGTACAGCTTCAGCAAGTTCACTACAAGACCCTGATGATGCTCGTCCTTCTTCAGTAGACATTAATTTAGAGCAAAATGATCCGATGCGAAACGTCAGATCATCTTCCGTCTCTTCTGTTTCTTCTTCGTCTCAAGGAAATAGTTCTAGGAACGTCGCGGTTTCTAACCTCAAGGACACACGTTTGGATCCCACTGAGCAGTCGCGCATGCGGTTAGAGCGGAAGAGAGCGAGAAACCGTGATGCGGCTCGTAAATGTAGGGAACGAAAGATTCGTTTGATCAAAAGTTTGGAGAAAGACGTGATTCATCTCTCTGAAGAAAACAGGGCGTTGCGTAATCGATTATCTCGCAGCAGAATTGAAGTAGAACGTCTGAAAATGTTTGTTGTCAATCATCTTGACAAGGACTGTCCTGCTTTATCTAGTAAGGTAGCATAAATTCCTCCTCATTAGTAACTAGTTTGATTTTGTCTTAACAATCCTCCTGCTTTCTTATTTTTTGTGTGAAGCGCCAATCGGTAATAAGTTATTTAATTTCGTGTGGTATTTACAAGTATTATCAGTCTAATTTTACCTTGCTTTTCGCCATCCAAACTACATTAACTAGTGACTTTTCATATGTGATTTTGTTCTGTGCACTCATTTATTTGATAATATTCGCACTTCGGTTCCATTGTACAGACTCATCTACCTCATCGCTTTTGGCATCTAAAAACTATCCTATTATAAGTCAGATTTTTGTTTGATATTTACTAACCTGTTGTTCAAAGATTATCTTGTGTGCTATTTCAAAAAATCTAACTTATCTAGTCGTGTCTCACTTTTCATTTTATCGGTATACTTTATTACTCATAATTGCTAGGGTATTGTGGATCCCAAACTAAAACATCCTATTTAACGAAGTAATAGTTATTCCCAGGTCAGAAATACGTAAAAGAAACTAAGTGTTTAATTAAAGGACTCAGACCCTCATAAAATACTCGCTGGTTAAACATCGTTCTAGTTTGGTCATGTGTCACTTACTTTCAACTACGTTAGAATTACTTATTTAGGTTAAATATCCTGGACATCATCGTAAATTCTCTCGTTACCTGGGGGTATATCATTGCCACGTGTAAGTCCTAACTATTTTGGAACTAAATCGCGAAGTGCTGTTATCAAACTAAGTAAAACATCGAAAGTTTTTTGAACATACAAGAAGGGTTTTCACTTCAAAAATACCCTTCTAGGAATAACTATCTCATAGATCATATCTTTTCGTTTAATGCGAGTATATCCTAAACATGACCCACTGTTATGTATATTGTCTTATGAAAATTAACTAGATAGCGAAAGCTGTTCATTAAGAACGTGTTTTGTGATTGATTCACTTGTTGGTTTCTGAAACTAAATATAAACAATTCTCATAACTTTAGACAGCTATAGCGTACTATCAAGTTTAGCTACATATTATTGTTGCTCAGTCACTTGTTCCCGGTAGTCTTTCACAGAGCTGTGCTAGTTATATTTATTTCTCTAAAGAGATCACCAGTCCTGGTTTACTTGCTGTGACTTTCATCTTAACGAAAAAAGCTTTTGTCCCTAACCATAATTCACCGCAGAAAATGATCTATTCGACTGTACTACTCCCACGTATTATGTTGTCTGCATCGTATTGTTTCTACTAATCAGTCAAATGCCCCCATGACCTGTTTAATTATCGTCCGTAAGAACTAGGTACTTAATGGGGGTGCTATGCTAACAGCTACAGCAACATGTCGATCTTATATTAAAAAAACGGATTATTGCGGTTACTAGACTATCATAGTAGATTAGTCGGTAACAAACAAGTTCGTGGTATTGTGTTAAAATATCACTAAGTTTATATGTTTTGGTTCATGGCTGAATACCAATCTTGCTACGAGAATAAAAGAATAGTAACTATGATATTCCATTTACATGTACGTATCTCACTAATAGTTCGCCCCCATAGATGGAGTTAAATGCTTCTGGGCATTTTCCATATATTTCTGATATATTTTATGATAAAGGGATAAGATCAGTTATCCCAACAACGAGTTGACTGATTACTTTGAATAACCTATTTTTACTATTCTCCTGACTCTTGTCGAAGTTCTTCACGTATTTTTTTATCTTGACTAAATTATTTAGTGTCTTGTAATTCCTGTAATCTTTATCCATCCTTCGATGGATTATCTACCAAGATTAATAATAAAGATTTCTCTTTGGAAACGTTTACATAAAGCCAGGACCTACTGCAACACCACAACATCCTGGTTTTTTTTTCCTTAAACTCTTAATTTGGTATTAATTAGTCTGTACATTGTCACTAACTTAATTTGTTCTTTTCAGGAAAGCAAACCTACGGATCCCTATTGCCTTAGTTTCGAGGAAATTGTTTTGTGCCCAAGTTCATTATTTTGATTACCCGCGGTTAAGGTTCTTTTTTCCAGTTTCTTTGACGTCTTTTTATCTTTTTTTTATGAACACTTCTAGTTAATGATCAATTAAACTATCGATTTATTTCTCCATGATTATCGTAGTGGGGATTTCTGATCCTAGGTTTCTAAGTTCCCCATATATTTTTAAATTATTGTATTCTATTCGCAAATTGTATCTTGGATCCCTGATCTTTCTTATTACAACATATACTGTTACTGCTTCTACGATGGGATTTTCCCGGACAATTTTATCACGCTGTGCTGCGTTTAACTGATTAATAAGTTATTAAACGACTCAGGTGTTTTAATTGATTCCTCATGATAGTCGTAGGGAATCACATCTGAGCTTTGATTCGATATATACAAGTCATCGTTAATAGTCGTATTCTTGTAGCAATTGATGATCAGTTCCTGTTCATACATTATTTGATTTATCGAGACTAAATGCAGCAACTCTTTGTAATCATAGTTTATAAACTCATTTTGCTAGAAGTTTAAAACTCCCCATAGAATATTCAAAAATGAAGAATATTTGAGCGAACAATTGTTTTCAATAACTTCATCATCATTTTGCTAGGTTTAGGAGTTGCTTCTACAACATATGCCCACTCAATTTGATCAAAAAAAGCCCCTCCAATTCATAATAAGTGGTTTTCAGAATATCATGAGTAATATCTTGTACCATAAAATGCTAGTAATACTCTGCTTATGATCAGCCTTATTGGGACAATTCATAGCTTTTTAAGGAGTAACTACTAAAGATGTGGATGAATCAGTTTGCATACCATATGAATTTACCTACATCATATTGAGAATTTTAAATTGAAAATAGGAAATAAATAACCTATCAGTAGGTCGGTGGATGGTTTCAAGGCCTACCAAAAGTCCATTTACTAAGCAATATGTACATGAATTAATCTACACGACCTCACCATAAATAACCGCTAGATTCGCCCACATTATGTTCACTCTGTATTGATCTTTTTGTGTACTACATGTGTAGTGGTAAATAACTTTCTAAAATAAATATTTCGATAGGTATTTGATATCGACTATCGCCTTACTAGTTTAAACTGGGTAGAGGCATTCGACCAAACATCCTAGCTTTTTCTTAGGACATGACACGTGAGACATTTCTCCCGTCTTTTAGATAGCCAACCTGGTAATTTCACGCCTGTCCCTCGAGTAGAAACTTTTATAACTCGTCCAATTCTATAATCGAGGCATCACGTTTAACATAAGTCAAATAAATAAAGTCATGATAAGCTCATTTTCTAAAATACTTAGTTTATTTAGACATTGATTCGTTCAGACAAGGAATTGTGGATGTACCACTAGGTGATGTCTACGCCTCAAGGTATTCTTGTATTTTGCGTCCGTTACCCATGATATCTGTAGTTAAATGGTGTCACCTGAACTGTTCAAGCGAAATCATATAAACAAACTACTTAAATCGTCAATCTCACAATTATCTTACAAATTCAAGTATATGGTTGCTTCCTAAATCACTCACATTCACTAACCAACTGAATCGATTATTTAGAAGTAGAGCCTGAGAATAGCCACAAAATGTAGCACACCAATGAAGTCCTCTTAATTTTCGGCATTGGTTCAAATGTGTTTAAGAAAGCTGGGTTAATTTTGTGTCAAACATAAGCATAGTTGTGGGTCGAAAATGTACATGTTCACCAGATGGCCTTACGTTTTCAGTTAGACATTTGTCGGACACCGTAAAGTGCCTTCATTATAAAAGTGGTTATTTAACTAAGCTGTCTAAATTTAGAATGCCCATTATTCTCCACGAAGTCCCTTATCCGTAGGATTACTACAATAAATTGTAACTTTTACCTTCTGATTGCGCATACGCTTTAAGTGTGGTCTATTTAGACTAAAAGTTTACACTAATGTCGCGAAGATTGGTACGAGTTGGGTGTTTTGACAGTTTTTAAGTTCCAACATAGCAACTATTATCTGAAACCATTTGGAATGTATACAAATGGTTAATTTAGGTTTTAAACTGAAGCGGACTCATATTTATAAACGACGTGGTTTTAATGAACAGTTACTAGAATAGACCAACTCAGTTACAGAAATGGGGACTTTCAATTCGTAGTTATTTATGATATCTGTTATGACTGGAAACAAGTTGGTTTGACTCAATCCGAGGAAAACACACACCAGTAATAGGCGAAGATTAATTCCACATCCAAATACAAGATCTAAATTTAATATCTCTGCATCCATTTATATTTGGATTCAATTTACGTTGATTATTGAATAAATTTAAATAACCGACTTATACGAATGTTATACTGAATTGTTATACAGCTGAAATTGTGAGAAAAATATGGATTGTCAGCCTTAAGAAGTCCATAATCCCACACTTGATCTTTATGTGGCAATATCAAACCATATCTTCTTAAAGTCTTACATTCATCTACTATCACAGTTTTAGCCAGGTTGGATTTAAGCAAGGAATTTTGTGACCAAAAGGAAATCAACTAGTCAGTTTTCTTGTTGTGGATTTATTCCATCTCATCAAAACTACCATCCAAAGCTTTTCGACCTCCCTATTTCGTATTCATTATTGTTTAAGATTCTTATTTTCCTTCTGATTTCTTATGAGCAGTTTACAATGTCTGCCCTAATTATAATCTATACTACAACTCTCCAAACGTATTCAACTTACGCCATCTGAACTTCTTAAAACGCTGCTTCATTGGATTAATTTTGCACCAAGTATTACAAGTTTTCTCAGTTCATATATTTTACTTTGGATATTGATTCTCTATCGAAAAGAAAGTGTTGCTCTACTTGAGACTACCGAACTAATTTTAAGAAAAACAAATATTAGTTTTCTCTAAGTGCATTGTACTTTTTACGCATGTGTTTTCTATCCTTCCATGATATTTCTACCTGTTGGTATTCTCATTAAATCTTGGTAAAACCCACTCATCAACAGAAAAATACTTTTCTTGTAAAAGAGGCGTTTCGTTATATTTTGAAAATAAAAATTTAGCTAAAATGCAAATTATAGGATTACCTAACAACATCAGGTCACTGATGTATCTAAGGTGTAACATTATGCTAGTGGACTGTTGCTAGGTAACCGTTTTATACCTTTGTTTGTCTTAGTTGTTACCAAATACTTATTCTTTTTCTACATCTCTGGGGCTTAGTACGGTTTAAAATTAATATTGAAATAAACTGTAAATGAAGCAGTCCTGTCGGTCATTCTGTCACATTAGTGGATTATTTTAAGTTCTACTTTTAACTCTTGACAAATTACAGAACAGTTGTTTCACCAGTAGCTAGTGTTTACTTCTCGTAAATGTCGC